TATTACTGCCGCTATCTCCACGTCAGCAATCAAATATATCCCCTACATTTCACCACACTATATTCTTCAGAGAAACAAAAAATATATCACAAATATTTTGATAAAACTGTGAAAACATTTACCTTCAAACACTACCTTATTACTAAAACTAACTAATAAATTTAATTTCCCCACGTGTTAGAATAACTGATAACTCTTTATGTTATCAGGGGCGCGTATACGGGAGGGGTAATGAGGGTAATTACCCCTCTCAGGAAGTAATTTATAAATAAGGTAAAATGTGATATAAAATAAAATGGTTTTAGAATAAATTAATAATATCAACCAGAAAAAAATTACGATTCAAATTTAAAGTATTCTACAGGGTGCGTCCGAAAAGTGGCTCACCCCTATAACTTTTTTTTCATATAAAAAAAACGATATTTGGTATGTTAGTATATGACATAAATTAGGATTGATTGACGTATTCAATTGTTTTTGGTGACTTCCTGTTTCACCGGAAATGGCTACAACTTTTGATTTTTAACGGCACCCTTGGTATATTTCTATTTTATTCGATAGAATATCACACTCAGAGTAGAATGACATTTCATAGGTCAACTTTTGACATTTTCGCATATGGTTTATTTGAAATTGTAACATGCGGTTCATAACGACAACTTGCCTCGAAATAACCAAGTGTGTGCAGGGCCGGCGGAAGGAAAATATTGAGACCGGGCGAGTACCCTATCTGGCGCCCCCCCCCCCACCCGCCTTAACAGTTATTATAACTAGTGATGGGCAAAACTGTTATTTTTAGATAACAGTTGAAACTGTTATAGTTATTTATAAAAAACAGCTTAACAATAACAGGTTTCTTTATTTTATTGCTAAATATCTGAAAGAATATGAGGCGGTCACCGCCAGGCGTATTAACGCAGTTGCAACAATGACGTGCTCGGTGGTAGTATTTCCAGGGTGTCATAACATTTCTAAATATCGATTGTTATCTAAAATACCTCTCTAAAAACGGGGGTTGTTTACAAATAAGCGCTGTTTACAAATTGCGATATAAAAAAGCCAAAATGCCGCCACTCGTCTATATCTATAAATTCCGATCTACCTACGCCCTACCCCTCGATCCGCGTAGATTCTGAATTGCGTAGCAGTGTACAGGGTGCATCTCACTCGACGGGCGAGAAGCTCTTCGTTATGATTTTACCATTTGCGGTCAAAAAATAGCAATATAAGAAAATGTGTAGTATATTCTTCATAAGTAAACCAACTACACACTAGAGTTCGAATTAATTTTACACTTAAACTAGCATGTACAGTTTGACAAATATAGGAAGAGACTTGGGGATAGCACCGGTCGCGCACACGATAGAGAGAGAACGCATTCGGCGGAAGAGAGATGCAGTTACGCTACGAAAAATCTGATTGAAGCAAATTTGTGGGATGTCCACTGCGCATCGGGGGGCGTCTCTTATTTTATATTTCTCACGTCTCTAGCTATACTTGTTAAGTTGTACCCGCGACTTCGTTCGCATCGAATTATTAATTTGTAATGGTGATGATAAAGCAAAGCAAGAATTTCCATTAACATACAAACTGGATAAAATTTTCTCACATTTGCCAAAAATATGCTTTAAACGTCGAGCAGTTTAAGCAGAATCGTGGTTAATCAATTACTCAACTTTTTGGAACACCCTGTATTATTTTTTAAAAAATTTCAAAATATGTAAAAAAACAAAATAAATTATGCGTGTCCAATCGTTTTCCCGAAAGACTAACCGTTTTTTAAATAATAAATATTGTAATATTTGAGGGGCGTTTTCACCCTCTTGGAATTTGAGATTCGAGAAACCCCTCCTTATCGCACCTCTACACCCCACAGTCAATCCGTTTACCAAAAATCAGCTTTAAACGTCAAGCAGTTTAAGCAGAATAGTGATTACTCAGTGGTCATATTTTATGAAACACCCTGTATATATTTTGTAAAAATCTCAAAATATGTAAAACAACAAAATAAAATATACGTGTTTAAGAGTTTTTTCGAAAAACTCACCAGTTTTTAAATAAAAAATATTCTAATATTTGAGGGTGGTTTCACCCCCTTAGAATTTGAGTTTCGAAAAATCCCTTCTTATCGCACCTCTACACCCTAAAGTCAATCCGTTTTCCAAAAATCAGCTTTTTACGTCAAGGGCTTTAAGCAGGATCGTGATTAATCAATGACCAGATTTTTCAAAACACCCTGTATACATTTTTAAAAAATCTTAAAATATTATTCTGAAAATTTTTCAGAATAAATAAATACTTAAATATTGAAACTTAATAACAAAGTATTGAAACATACAGCGCCATAATATCTCGACCTCCGCCCGTTATGCTCGTAACAGGTTGAAAAACAATATGTATCTAAAACAACTGATGCGTTATTCTCCAACCTGTTTCAAACCTCCGATTATCTCGAACGCCGTTCTGTTATGCTCGTAACAGGTAAAAAAACAACATAGCTAAAACAACTGATGCGTTATTCTCCAACCCGTTGCGAGCCTCCATCGACAATCGACCGATGCAGCAGCGCTCCTTTCCCACTCCTGTTATCTCGACAGCCAGGCGTTATGCCCGCAACTGTTTCAAAAAAGCTGCTTCTTTTATATCCTATTATTTTTAAGCTGTTGTCAGCCCAACACGACGCGCCGCGCCGTAGCGCATACCCCACTCCGTTGTCCGTTGTATCTCGCCGCCTGTATCGATGGTTGTCGAAATAATAGGTTTTCCATCCATACTAGTTGTTTTTTGGAATTGCTTCGAGCAGCATCGAATTTCGTGGCGGTGCAGAGCGCCGACTTCGTTTCACGAACACTCGATCTCTGCGTGTCGTTATTTTATATCTGTTATTTTTTAAAAGCAGTAACGGTTGCGTTATGTTATTTCTAAATAATTGTTATAAAATAACAGATAGTTAAATAACAACCCATCACTAATTATAACTCTCTTTTTCCTTCAGTCCTTCAGTCATATACAACTACAAACTAAGCATATGTATGCTACTTTAACAATAAATTTTCACTTAATGATACTTCAAAATTCTTCTCTTCGTTTAATCTTAGTCTGCGATTGTTGTTTTTTCTACACCGGTCTCGAAAGTGACTCACTCCTATAAATTTTTTATTTTTTTTAGATAAAAAAACGAGTTTTGGTACGTTCGTACAATGACATATATTAGGTTCGATTGACGTATTCAATGGTTTTTAGTCACTTCCTGAAATTACTAAAACTTTTGATTTTTAAATGCACCCTCGGTATATTTCTACTTTATTCCTATGGAGTATAGAGGTAAGGAGAAACAACTCCGTGCATTAAAAAATGGTCAAAAAAAGGGAAGAATTAGGATGGCGCTGCTGTAGCAAAAACCTAAAATTTAAGACATGCGCCGAACATTTTTAGAACAGCTGATTCAAAAGACATAAATATTTGACGTGAATCATATACGTGAAGCCGCGGGTTTCAAAAAAATACAAATTTATTTTTATGTCACATGAAATAAATTACAGATTTTTATTCAGCAGCAATAGACTAGGCTCTTTTTTTATTGCTCTCATAAGTTATTTCGCAAATGTCATTCAAGACGACGAAAACATTATTCTGATCGTTTTAGCTTAAAATTAATGTTAATTATAATTAAGAAAAAAATTATTTAAAGTAATAATTGGTGATGGGTTTAAAATAAATATAATGCAGCTTTAAAATAACTTCATACCTACATTTATTTAGTATAAAAGTAAGTCAACATGTGGTTTTATTATCAATTATTCAGAAGCAATAGACTGAGCCTCTTTTTTATTTTTTCTCATAAGTTATTTCGTAAATCCACAAACTAGGTTAGTCTGTGGTAAATCTCATTCAAGATGAAAAAAAGCTTTAGTTTAATTAATTAAAAGTTTTTAGTTTAAAAATTAATGTTAATTATAATTAGGAAAACTTTATTTAAAGTTTAATTGATGATATGGGATTTAAATAAATATAATGCAGGTCAAAAATAACGTAACACATTTTATTTAGTATAAAAATTAAGCCAATATAATGTAATTTTATACTGTACAAGTATTTATTTACGTTTTGCCATCGTAGTTGCCATTCATTCAGAATAGTGGATTTTAAATGTTCGATAGTCGGATGGCTTAACTACCTTAATATCAACTACTTCTAGACAAGAATCGTGTGCAGTATTATCTTCTTTTTCACTCCCAGCTATTCCAACATGGCTTGCATGGCTTGGGACGTGGAATAATATAATTTTATAGCCCTTCCAGATCCTCATGTCTTCCTTGTAGTTCACCCAATAGAATCGTTCTCGCAGCTTCCTCCCAAGTTGGTAGTTGCTATTCATTCAGAATAGTGGATTTTAAATATATTTGGTAGTCGGATGGTTTAACTATCGTAACTACTTTTAATAATTCTTTTTCTCAATTCTTTGCACTATAATTTGCATCCCACGTATTGTAATATTTTCCTTTGAATTTCGTTTCCTATTGTCCCACGGCTTGAGACGTAATGTTATAGCCCTTCCAGATCCTCATGTATATTCCTTTTCCTTGTAGTCCACCCAATAGAACCTTTCTCTTAGCTTCCTCTCAAGTTGGTAGTTTCCATTCATTAAGAATAGTGGATTTTAAACATGTTTTGTACTCGGATGGTTTAACTACTGTAACATCATAAATAAATTGTATACCAACACATAATGGCCAAACTTCAACAGACTTTAATATTCATAAACCTCATCAGAAGAAAATATTTTTTGATCCAAAGTTTTTTTTTTCGTTATTAGAATAAATTACCTGGAATTTGTTAATTCATTACAACATTGAATAAAAGATGCAAAGTGTTTATACATACTATAATGGATAACTCTTCATTTAAAATTATGTGATAGATCTGCTTGCTTGTAGGATCTAGACTGATAAACTCAATTTCTTTTATTTATATAACCAATAAAGTAGTAATGCTGAAATTTTGTTTTTGATTTGTGCAATAAGATCCATTATTTCCATTATTTGATGCTGTTATTGCTCTACAAAATGTTGATCTCTATCAAGGGATGTTTATGTGTATAATATTACTATTTATGTGTATAATAATATTGTATGATCGAAAAAACACGGCGTGCAGTTGGCTTGGAAATGAACATCTCGATGACATTCTCCATATCATTTTACATATAAAATGACAGCAATCTTCATTTCATAGGCATCGCTGACGCTGTTTTTTATTCAATCAAATTGTACTTACGTATATAATATTCATTTAATGGTTCCTGTTTTAGTTGCTGGTGTTCATATTTTGGTTTTTTATTCTGTTGTTGCTCTACAAAATGTTAATATTTATGTGTATAACATTACTCTTTCTTTGTATAATAATACTTATGTGTATAATATTCATTTAACGGTGCCCTTCTTGCTTGTTGCTGTTGTTGCAACTCAGAATTTAAATTAACCTGAGGCAGTAGGTAGAGCTTCATCCTCCAACATTTTCCTATGTAAATACTGCAAGTGGACAGTATTTCTGATGACAATTTTATCATAAACTTTAACATCTTGTTCTTTAAAACGAAACTGCCATACCTTATCTGTAGATTTCAAAGCAATATCTAAATGCTTTTGACCATCGCTGTAATCTAATTCTTGTTTGAAAATCAATACCTAATATTATCCTGATGATTTTGATTTTTGATAGATTATTAAAATACAGCACTTACAGTTAACTATATTTCTTGAAAGTACCTACAACTTTATTTATTTCCTACTTTTATTTGTTTAAAAAAATGCCAACAATTTGTGCATGTCTGTCTAACTTTAAAATCATTAAAAATAAATTTTATTCAGGTTGTAACTTTATAGAAAGGATTATAAAAATATACTTTATAACATGTATGTCAATAATCTTACGAAAAATGTTTACTACACTTTTGATTGACTCTAATTTTTACATATAATACAAATAATACAAGACAATACTGAATTATAATTATGTATTTTACAGGCTTTGCCTTTGTTCTTTATTTTTCCATCAGCTATTCAATCAACTTCGCACCACACACACTTTAACCATTGTTAAATAATAAATAAAGCACAAAATATTGATAAACAATAATTATTTTATATTCTAAAAAATAAAAACAAAACTTTTTTTGGGTAATGTTTGGTTATATTTATTTTTATTCTCTTATCTATGGTTACTTTTCATTTTTTAGATTTATGCGTTTTTAGCGCCACTGTGGTCATTTGGCGAACCCTTATTCTTCCCATTTTGTGACCACTTTTTCAATAAAAGTCCCATAAGAGTTATTTCTCCTTACCTCTACACTCCATATTTATTCCAAAAGAAAATGACATTCTGAGTAGAATGGCATATCATATGTCAACTTTTGACATTTTCGCTTAAAAAAATCGTATTTTAAATTTTAATCTATAGTGGCAGGGCTGTGTTAAAAATAAACAAATTATAGGGGGATAAACTTCTGAGACGCACTCGGTATATAGAGCATAAGAAATAGAATTCCAACTTCGGCAGTCTCGTTCTGCTATAAGATAAGTAATATTTGAAAACATAACAGTATTTAATTGCAAGCAGTTGCATTATTTTTTATTATATTTTATTATTAAGAATTTAAGAAAAATTTCCTTTCTTTTTTACAAACAATTACATATTTAGTGCAGAATCAGTATTATGATCAGACAGTTTTGTCAGCTGCAAAATGAGGATCAGCCGATCAGTTTGAGATACATTTCTTTGTATGATTCCTCTAATGAGAAAATTCTACGATTTTGCTACCATTTTCAGTGTATTACTACATATTCAATCCGGAACAATCAAAACCACCAAAAGATTGATATCTTTCCCACTACTATTAATAAATTAATTTAATTAATGAGGCAAACTTATAAGTTTTTTTTTTGATAATCAGGATATCAGGATCCTCTTCAGCTTCTTGCGAATGAATATTTCCCCATATAACTTTAGGGCATATCATCAGCCATTAATAATAACAAATAAAAGGGTGTGGATAGTAGAAAAGTGCAATTTTGAGCGGTCAGTCTAAAACTGTTAATTTTGCTGGCCCTTGACCCAAAACAGTTTGTTTAGAAATTTATAAAAACGAGAATTATAGATAGAAGGATTATTTACAAAAAGTTGTTAGCTTTTGAGTTATAAAAATGCCACGAACATATCCGATTTATATATTTTTTATTTAATTTTGTTTGATATTCTTCCACAAAAATGAATTCGCAAATCCCAGTTTCGGATAGAGCACTCAAAAAACATATAGAATAGAAGAAATCAAAACTATCCCAAAGCTTTCGTGCTAAGGATTTTTTTGAGAATAATTTCAGTAAACTATTAATAGGATACATCTAGGATATAGTATAGTGTTTATAATGTTTAGTCAGATATTCTTCCCTATGTGGTGTGGTAATAGCTAATGTGTTAATGTGGAAATTGACAGTACCGATTAATTATTGAATTGGTTTACTATTTGTTTAGATTACTGTTTTTAAATATTTTAGTTGCAGTTGTGGCGCCCCTCGTTTCCGGCGCCCCGGGCGGCCCCCGGCCCCCGGGTTCGCCCGGCCCTTCCGCCGGCCCTGAGTGTGTGGTACCAAATTATTCATAAAAAATGCTTTTTCCAAATATGCTAATACGAAGAATATTAGACGGTCAAAACTATTTTTCCAAGGCTCCTTTATTAAAAATTAGGGTTTTTAGCATAGCCATGGCGTTTTAGAATGAAATTTAAAATGCGATTATTTTAAAGCGAAAATGTCAAAAGTTGACATAGGATATGTCATTCTATTCAGAGAGTCATTTTCTATTGTATAAAGTAAAAAAATACCGAGGGTGCCGTTTAAAAATCAAAAGTTGTAGTCATTTCCGTTGAAACAGGGTGGGATTCTTCTTCTCTGAGTCCAGCTTCATTGTTCATTGAAGGTTGGCAACAATCTCGGCGAACTTTTGACGATCTTGGGCAGCTCGAAATAACGAGTGTGCATCCATACCCGTCCAATCTCTGATGTTTTTCAACCATGAATGTTTCTTTCTACCTATACCCCGCTTGCCCTCAATTTTTCCCTCCATTATCAATTTTAACAGATCATATCTACTTCCACGCATTATATGACCCAGATAGACTGTCTTACGTTTCTTGGCTATGTGCACTAATTCTCTTTCGCACTGGGCTCGCATCAGCACCTCTTCGTTTATAACATGTGCCGTCCAAGGTATTTTGAGAAGTCTACGAAGAATCCACATCTCAAGGGCTTCTATTCCGTTAATGGTGTTAACTTTTAGAGTCCATGATTCACAGCCATACAACAAAACCGGGTGTACAGGGTGGACCATTTTGGTTGTTTCTATATAGTTTTTCGCTATAATAAACCGTTTTCGAGTTATTTACATTTTTTCCCAAAAAATACCAAAATTCAAGATGGCGGCCGATTTTTTTTGATGACGCACACATCGGACAAATGGGGACTTTTAGTATGTTAATAAGGGTTACTAAGGCTAACTATTTCCAATGGTCGCAGCTTTCTAAAAATTTTTGCAATTTCAACATGGTGAATGTCATAAATGCACTGGGGTATTATTATCTAGACGGAGTTTGGTTTGGCACCGTCTCTGCACGCCGGCGCAGCTGCTAACAGCATTTCGAATGTGTATGTTGGTTACACTTTGCAAAGCCACAAAAAAACTATCTTTTGACTCTTCTAATGTTCTATTTGCATTTTGATAAATTTCGTTTTTCAGAAAGTCCCAGAGAAAGAAGTCCAAGGGAGTGATATCAGGTGACCAAGGTAGCTATAATTAAACTATTTTCTGGCCTTTTAAAAAGGGCTGGGTTTAATTGCTCGCGCTCAAAATACCGCTCAAGATATAAATCAGCTGCCATTTGCTTATGTTTGTTAGACTTAATATAACATATTATATTTCTCAAAATTTTCAAAATTACTCATTTTTTTATTATTTAAAATACACACACTTCAATCTGTTGAAATGAAATGTCACGCATCCATCAAAGGCATGTCCCGATCACCATGACAACCATTTACTTTGTTATTCGGCGCGGCCTACTACAATATTTTAAGAAAAATTTGAAATGTTGAGGTTAATAGTGAAAATAAATATAGAATGTTATATATTTTCGATAAGCTCATGCCAAGCTGAATCTGGAAATTTAAAAATATACAGAGGGTTATATTTAAAAAAAAACAGAAGTATAGTTAATATCTAAAAAAATATTTTTTTCGAAAAAAGTCTGACCACGGCACTGCATTCTACACAGAAAAGTGCCTTTAGAATGTATAATTCATTTTTGCGTAGTAGCTGAAATAAACAAACTATCGAACATCTTCAAAAAGTACAAAATTTGAGAATCCCCCTGTAGCTTCGAAACCTATCAAGACAGCCACGATCCGTTTGCGGCATTGTGATTTTTTCAAAAAAAAGAACCCGAGACTGCAGTATCAAAATTTGAATATTTCTTACGGTTTCCTAGATACCCTATAGAAACAACCAAAATGGTCCACCCTGTACATAGCACTTCACAAACCGGTATCTAAGACTCAGACTTGGTGTGGCATTACACAGTAATCAGGTTAAAAGTGGCTCTTGCTTGCTCGATTCTGGATCTAATTTCTATTTCTGGATCTAGGTTGTTGCAAATCCAGGTCCCCAAATATTAGAATTTTTCTACCACTTCTATTCGTTTCCCATATATACTAATATCTATGGACGGCTCTGGGGTTTTTGATATTATAAGTATTTTTGTTTACTACCACAATTTTTTTCGTGGTAGCTAGAGGGCGCTGTTTGACGTCATAACAGATATTGCGCTTTTGCGTCAAAAATTTAAATAGGAGGCTATATTTCTCTTTGCACAGTTAAATAGAGCACAAAATTTCCAAAATATCAGCGCAAACTGCAACTTTCTATCTTCTCTCTAACCGGAGATATTAAGAGAACAAATCATGTTAGGCTGCCGCTTAGGATTATATAGTCTAAAAATTATAGTAGTAGGCTAGGAAACAAAAAGAGGTAAATTGGTTACGTCAAAATATCAAAACATATATTTTAATTTCATTTTAATACCGTTTAATTATTATCTATCCATGTTTCGAACTTGATTCGACCCCATAAAGTAAAACCCAGGCATATTGTATTCGACGACCTAGCTGGCCATGGAAATATGCCGCTCCAGCGTCTCTATCTACTAAAATAAATGCTATCCAAAAAGACCCACACATTCATAGCAAAATAAGCGGCACCACTGATTGCCTCAACTACACCAAAGGCATACATGCTGATGAAATTGCAACAAATGCAATTTCATCATGATGGATCCCCGAAGGGTAAATATCTGTGGATTTCTGGTGTACACCTATATGGATTTCCGTGGATTTCCATGGATGTCTGTGATTTCTGTGGATTTTCATGGATGTCTGTGGATTTCCGTAGATTTCCGTGGATTTCTGTGGATGTCTATTAGATATCTGTGGATTTCTCTAGATGTCGTTAGTAGATTTCCTGACCAAAATGTGTACACCAGAAATCCACTTTTGATAAATAAATCCAAGGAAATCCACAGAAATCCACAGAAATCCAAAGAAATCCATAGAAATCCACAGAAATACACAGAAATCCAAAGAAATCTAAAGAAATCCAAGGTAATCCACAGAAATACACAGAAATCGAAAGAAATCTAAAGAAATCCACAAAAATCAACCGATATCCAAAAAATATTAGATTGCATTTTAAATAGTAATATAATAATATAAAGTCGATATAGTATATTTCAGGAGATTTCTATATGACATATGACCAAAGTAATAAAAAAATTGAGAGTGAGTTTTTTATGCGAATAAACGTCTATTTCACTTACTATTAATATTATGCGGTGATTAGTATTAGTTTAAACGTCAAAATGAAATAAAAAGTAATAGACTTGG